ACTCGCATAGTATGAAATGAGGTTCTGACAAGATCGTACTTGATGAATTAGTTCAATTTTGATTTGTTCACAAAGTACTATATTAGTTCGTACATATGATTGACATAATATAAAATCAGGTTAGTATAGGTTCATACATGGATTTTTGAACTGTTCGTATAGACAATCCTCAATCGTATTGTATAATCTGAGTACATTCAAATTATAATTTTCAATTTTTTGGACGGGTTTTCTTATCTTTTATATACAAGGGTCCTAAAAATTGGCACTTTTGATCTTGTTGTGAATATCTTTTAAGAGTGGATAAGGAGAGTGTTTTTGGGAGAGAAGAGTAAGAGATTATTGTAAGAGGAAATTATGAGGGGATTCACAAGGTTTCTTAGAGGTAAGGATATCTTGTTTATTCTTCAAAATTCTGCCATACTTCCTTGAAGCCTCTTAAGAGAAGATTTTTAAAGAAGATCACGATACTCAGCCATCACCAAGAGGATAAGAAAGAATGTTGGTACTTTGCCATCACCAAGAGAGCGAGAAATGATGTTGGTACTTTGACATCATCAGGAGGGAGAGAAAGGACGTTGGTACTCTGCCATCATCAGGAGGGTGAGAAGGGATGTTGGTACTCTGCCATCACCAAGATGGTGAGAAAGGATGTCAGTACACTGCCGTATCGAGTTGGTGGAAGAGAGGTTTTGTAAGAGCTTCTTTGGTTTACTGTGGGAGCAAAAGAAGAGTCACTTATGTTAGTGCAATACTTAAAGAAGGAGCCTCGAGGGAGTGGACGTAGGTCTTGCTGGACTAAACTACTATAAAATTTGGTGTTCTTATGTTCTTTTATTTTATTACATTTTTATTTTTTTGAACTTTATATTACTGGGTTTGAAAAATATTTTGTGAAAATCTATTTCTACAAATAATCACGTTCTTTAGATTAATTGAGTAAAGTTTCTTAAAATGGTTTTCTAAAATCCAAGAGTTATTTAAATTACCAATTCACCCCCCTCTCTTGGTTAGCCTTGGGGAAATTCTATTAGATTTTACAACCTGCTCGAACTTTCAAGGTATATTTTGATAGCAGTATATGGGCTAATCCATCCATATTTAATTTTTCCATGGTAAAACTTCTTCTTATAATCAAATATTAGAATATTTTGACCATAATAAAATTAATACTCTAAAACTTCACATTTATGCATCTTCTTCATTTTTGCCATGTATATTCTTATATTCTAATGAATTTCATCATTGAATCAAGTTTATTGATGATAGTAGAACTTTATATGTGGATAAGAGAAAAGAAATATTCATTTTCCAAATTTTCTTCACTTTTAATCCTAGAGGAGGAATATCTTCGCTTGATTCTATCTATTGTTAAAGTTGAATTTCCAAGAAGAGAAATATGTTACTCTTTAAAAAAAAAAAACTAATAATGATAGGTAAATTTCCAAAATACATTTTTTATAATTTTTAAGTGAGAGGAAGTTTTAAAATTTGAATCTTTAAACTACTTAAGCCCGGCTCAACATTGCGACGCTAATGGTAGCGCTGCGATGCTTCACATCTCCAGAGGTTTTTTTTTTGAAGCAAAATAAACTATCCTACCTACAAATTTAAACTATAAATTGGGTTTCCTCCCTTGAAGAGCTAAGTTTATAATCTTCAGTCAGACTTAAAAACTAACTAAACCTAAATCTGGGTTGCTCCCATACAACGCTAAGTTTATAGTCTTCAGTGAGACTTGCCTAAATATTTTAATTTAGCCTGGGTAAATTATTTCATTCTTCAACTGAATTTTGTAAAGATCTTTTTCTTTTTCTATAGGATCTATTTTAATATTATTATGTAAAATATCCAAGTGGTCTACTACGGATTGAAATTACGAGCCGACTTAATTGAGTTTTCATATTTTTAATAGAAGCAGCTTGATTTTGCAATTGAAGTCCTAACTGCTAACTACATCTTCCAATGCTATTGTCTTGTTTCCAAATTGATTGCTTTGATTAAATCCTAGAGGATTTGATAGTCTAGGATTAATAGCATGTTGTTAAGAAGTGCTCCAACTTACTCTTTCATTATTCTGCAAATTATTCCATTGATTACTACTACCCATATTATTTGACTAATTAAAATTATTATGATTCCTCCAACCTAAATTATATGCATTTGAATAGGGATTATTTTGTCTTCCTATTATATTAATATGTTCAATCTCTTGTATATTATTATCTTCAATTAAATTTTGATCTCCTGAGATCTCAGTTTCTATTCCATAATTTATTCCTTTAGTATTCAATTTCTTAGAAATCACTGCAACTTGTGCAGTTAAATTGTTAAAGCATCAAATTTAGAAATTCTAGTTACTTTTTTAAGATTTATCCTATCAATAGGCCACTAGAAATTATCAGTAGTCATTTCCTCTATTAATTCATAAGCTTCCATAAATGGTTTAAACATTACTGATCTTCCAATTGCAACATCAATTACGGCTCTAAGAGATCCTACTAATCTATTCTAAAATGTTTGAATTACAATCAATCAGATAATGCATGATGTGAACATTTTCTAAGTATTTTCTTAAATTCTTTCCAACTCTCATAAATGGATTCTCCTTTAAATCAAATAAAAGAAGTTATGTCATCTATAAGTATAACAATTTTTTAAGGTGAAAAATATTTAGTGAGAAACTTATGAGCCAATTCATTCTAAGTGGTTATAGAGCCTAGGGATAAAAAATTCAACCATATTTTAGCTTCATCTCTTAGAGAAAAGAAAAATAATCTAAGTCTAATAACATCATCACTGATACCATTGTACTTAAATATTGAATAAATTTCTAAGAAACTGGCTAAATATAAATTGGGATCTTCTATAGGAGTTTTCCTAAATTAAGAATTTGAAACCATTTGAATGATAACTAATTTTAATTCAAAATTATTAGCTTGTATTATAGGTATATTTATGATCCGATGAATTTCGTTTACTAAAAGGTTTGTATAATCCTTAAGAGGTCTAGAATGATTTTGCTCTAACTAAGGTTTAGCCATTTTCAAGATCTTTTTTTATTTTCTTAATTTTAGAAAGGGTTCTTTTAATTTCAGGATCAAATGACAACAATTTCTTTCTAAAGCTATAAAGCATGCAAACAAAAATACACAAATAATCAAAATAAAAATGATAAAAAGAGAAAAAATGTAAATAGGTCTAATTATGTAATTAATTCAACAATATAATAAAAATTTAGCAAAAGGAAAAATCTTCCCTAGCAACGACTCTAAAAAAACTTGATGGGGTGGCAGAGTAACCTTTACAATTGTGAAATGTATTAGGGCTCTATCAATCCCTAACAATGCTTAAATTTTCTTTGATTTATAAAAATTATAAAATTTTCACTTAATAAACGCAAGTATACATGCCGAATCAAGTATACATCCTCACTTATATTGGAAAATCATCCCAATGATCATAGATTAGCTCGCTAACCATATTCGTCATTTCATGCATCATGATATACATTTCCCAAGCTCAATTTTATTCATCCATTCCCTCATACATCATGTATATGTGGACTTTTAAAAAGCATTGGTGGATTAAACATTGAGGTGAAGTTAATTATTTTGATGAGGTCGATTAAATAGTAATAAAATATTGTCTAAATACTTTACCCTCAACTCAATTAATAACTTCTTTTTTTGCTTGAATGTTTACTATAGGCAAACCCTTTTAATTATTTCTCCCATAGAAGGAAGTAAATTTGATTAAGGCTAACTATATAAGCTATCACATGTATGCATTGACTCTCTTGGTTCAATATAAGAGATGATATGCTCATATATTTAGAGACATTTTAATAAGGGAATTGATGATTGATTCAATAAGATCTTATAATTCTATCAATCTAGGATAAAACTTATTTAGCTAGCATAGATTGTTGACCCAACCTGACAAGAAATTCTTATTAGTAATGATGAGTTGCGTTGTTTAATGACATTACATAAGCTAGGATTGAAAACAAATGATAGATTGACCATTTTTAAACTATCTTAAATTGATGGTACACCTTATGCTCTATCAAATACATCAATCAAAGAAAAAAAATCTTATGGATTTTGGTGGCAATACAAATATAAAGATATTTAGTGCTATGAAAGCTAACGATCCTTTCAAGGGACAAATGACACATCCTCATTTCAGAGGACTTGTGACAAATTTTGAACCGGATTTATTAGCTAATTTTGATGATAAAGTTATTGAAAATAGAATTTTGATGATGATGTAAACAAAACTGAAAGTTTTTTATTTAAAGATATATGCATTTTAAAAATCTTAAAATAATGTTAAGATTTATATATGATAGGATGAACTTTCCCAAGTCATAAATAAGATTTTTTAAGGAGCTTGGTGTCTAATTTAAATTAGCAATATGAAGAACGTGTTAATTAAAAAAAAAATAAACTAGTCAAACAAAATGACACAATCTATTGAATGTACCAAGCTGTTTAGCGTATTTAGAATAAGCCAAATAATTTGGCACATTCAATGGAATGCATCATTCTCTTTGGTGCATTTCATTGAATGAGCCAAACTATTTGACACATTACAATAGTTCTGTAAAAATTTATTCGGCTGAATGGAGTGATTTGGTGCATTCTTTAGAATGCATCATTTTGTTTGACTAGTTTACTTCTTTTAAAATTTTATCAATACGCTCGTTATATTTCTAATTTAAATTAAACATCATGCTCCTTAAAAAAACTCTCATAAATATGCTTCTTTTATAAATAGGATAAGGGTATATAATTACTTAAAAACGCATGAGTTTCTTTTAAAAGTTTTGATTTCTTTAATGGGGAAGGCTTAGAGAAGGTGCTTGAATTGCAATTGTGGAAGGACATTAGGGGTATTTTAGTAGTTTCAAAAAGTGCGAGGTGGCGGAGTAGCCGAAGCAAACGATAGCGATCGATAACAATTACGATTAAAATAACGGAGGGCAGTGCAGCGAGAATGCGTAGAGCGTCGGTGAAACTGGGATTGTGGTCGGAAGTCTGTGGGCTGCGGCAGGATTTTCTACGCCCATCTTCTTGTCTTACATACTGTTTTCTTTTCTTTTCTTTTCTTTTTTTTATAAATATATACTGTTTTATTCTCTTCTCCTCTCTCAGTTCTTCAGTTCTTCTAGGGTTTAGAAACTTTGCGTCTCAAGGAGACTATTTCAATTTGTGATCCTGCTTTTGACTTTACTGTGTTTTATTTGAATCGGTAAGGTTCTCGTTCTATTCCTAGCATTGGTCCTGTAATGATTTCCCTATCTGGTTTGCTATTTTTTTATATTTTGTTGGCTTTTGTATTCTTGAAGCCGAGTTCTTGACATGCTTGTTTAAAAGGGGAGCTTATCGGTTTTTGTTATGTTTCTTTATTCTAAATAATTGTTGTTTGATGATTATGCTTGGTTCTTTGATCTTCTGTTCTTCTTCTAATGAGTATGGACCTGAAAGTTTCATCTTTGTTAGAATTTAGAGTTCGTTTATTCCCTTTGGCTTAATATTTTGACAGATTAACTGTTTTTGATGATCAGTGCAATTTGAGGATGGCTCATAGCTCACTCAAGAAAGCAGGGGAAAACAGTGAGCACGCAGGGAAGAAGTAGAAAAGAGAACCAAAGAAAATAGGAAGTTTGATAATTCATTGTCTTTCTTTTTGTGTATTTTAGTCTAATCAATACAAATCCCTTTCTCATGATTACCGACAGCCTTTTCCTCCCACTACCATACCAAGTAGTACTGCTGTATAACTAACCTTATTATTACTCCAACAAAATTTTTCGCTTGCTAACAAACCTAGGAAAAGGGCAACCTTTTCTCTTATTTATTGGCTAAGTATGTGGTAATCACCCAACCTCAACATAACTACTTTATCCAAGTTGAAGAGATACAAATTTGAGTTGTTTGAGCCAAGTTTTGTCCCACTGCCATTGGATCATTGGTTGGGCTTGCATCAATTCCTTGACCCTTTCGAAAATTGACCTTGTCCATAATGCCATTGTTGTAGTTGTGTAGGATAAAACCCTCGTTGTCAATCTAGGTTGCTTTCTCTTTAGACATGCATGTCCGTTGAATTAGATGTTGCCAATGGTTTTGCCCATTGTGTAACAATTTTTTGGATTTAAGGATTTGTTTAGGTTAGACTAGTGGGTGGTTATGCCATCCATCGGGTGGAAGAGTGTTAAAATGGAGGTGAAGGTCTTGTAGTATTTTTTAGCAAGGAAATGTGAAAAACTTGATGAATAATGAGCTGTGGAGGTAGATTTAATGTGTAAGTGACATCTCCAAAATTTTGTACCACTTAAAAGGGTCTGTAATAGCTTTTATTTAATTTGTTGTAACATGTCAGGCATAATGAGAGCTATCTGTGAGGCTATAGTTTAGCAAGGACGATGTTACCAACATTGAAGGAGACTCACAACGGTTAAGATTAACCTTTATTTCATTCAATTTTGGTCTTGGGGCGAATCCTCATAGGGCCCGAGTAATGCTTGGCATTGCTGCAACCACTAGTTGGCGACATTGCAAGATGTGGAATTGATGATATAGGAGTGAATTTGTGGTGGTTGACGACCTTACAAAGCTTGGGGACATGTCGATTGAATATTGAAAAGCGTTGTTGTAGGAGAATTTTGTCCATGGAGTGCGAGAAGTCTTGCGATGAGTGTGGTTGAGGATCGAAGATACTGTTTGCATGTCCTGTTGGTGATTTGGGTGTCACTGTCTGTTTACGGGTGATGTGTTGTATTGTAATGTAACTTAATATCCATTTAGTTGAATAGTGTTTGCCAAAAAGTACTCACGAATATTCAATTTAGTTATGAAGTTATAGTTTTTAGCAAGCCATGTAGAAGACAAGTTTTTTAAATGAAAGTTGTTGCAACAATGGAATCGGTGAAGTTGGCGGATAGAGGAGTGAAATGAATGTACTTGGTTTGTCGATCGTTGAGGACCATGATGATCATTTTGGCTTGGGATGCAGGAAGATGAACGATGAAATCCATGGTGGTATCATCCCATGTTGTGTTAGGAATGGGGGGAGGTCTCATGAAACTAGTAGGTGCCAAGGGTTTATATTTAGTGGCTTGACATGTTGGACATGATTAGTTGAAGGAGGTAATGTCTTGTTTTAGATTGGGTCAATATAAGTGTTGATGCAAACAATGTAATGTCTTCAATTGTTAGCCATGGCCTCCGATGAAACTAGATTGATGATAGTCCAGCAGTTGGAGTTGGAATGCCAATGAGGAGGCAAGCACGATTCTCCTTTTTTGTGGATGAGGCCATCATGATAGGTGAAGGGATTTTGGGTGTTTTGTCTTGTCTAGGGAATTGTTGGGCTAGTGTTAATAAATTTAGGGGGTTGCTATTTCCTCCTTTAGTTGAGCTAATAGTTAATTGATGGGTGCAAAGATGATGGTTAGTAGAGTATGCGGTGGTTCTGAGTTGGGATAGGGTTTGTGGATTCAAGAAAGTGCATCAATGACTTTGTTGGTTGAACTGACCTCAATGGTGAATTGATAACCCAACGTCTTTAGTAAGAAGCGTTGTTGATTGGGCTTTCAGACCTACATCATGAGCTCATTGATGCTTTTTTGATAGGTCCATATTGTGAAGGGAATACCCAAAAAGTATTGTCGTCATTTTTTAATTGCCTCTGTGATGGGATATAGTCCCCTAACATAATTAGAGGAGTTCTACATCTTGAAATTTATTTTTTTTTGTAAAACGCAATTGGCTTTTTGGCTTGTGAGAGAATGGTGTAATTGCCCACATCAGAAACATCTCTATCAAGCAGGAAAAATTATTGTGTCTAGACACTATCGAGTAGTACCGACTGGTACTACTATCGGTACTGACCGGTACTACTTTCGGTACCGACCGAGGTATCGAGTTCGGTACCGAGCGCCTAGTGATGTGGCTCATTTTTATTGGTCTCTGGACACGTTCGGTGTCCGGACACAATAATCACTCGTCAAGCAGGGGTGGCGAAGCTATAATTGATTTTAGGTCTTGAAATCTTGGGATGCGATTGGATTCTAGTGGAATTGATCCCTTTATTCTTTTATAGAAAGTTTATGGGAGTGTGACAATAGTGGCGACTTGTTGGACGAAACAATGATATTATCCAGCCAATCCAAGGAATCCTTGTAAAGATTTCATAGTAGATAGGATTGGCCATGTCGTAATGGTGTGTATATTTTATTTGGGTTCATAGTGATATTGTTGGCTGCCATGACGTGGCCTAGGTACTCAATTTGTGGTTGCACAAAAAGGTATTTAGTCTATTTAAGATAGAATTTTTTCTTGTTTAGGCAGACAATCACAGTTATAAGGTGTTTAGTATGATCAGATAAGTTGCAGCTCTATAGGAGTATCATAAAAAAAAAAAAAAAACAATAACAAAGTTACGTAGATAAAGTTTTAAAAATTGGTTCATCAAACTTTGAATTTTCGTGGGAGCATTTGGGAGCCTGAAAAGCATGACGATGCACTTGCAGTGATTGTCATGAGTTCGGAAGATACATTTTGTGTTGCCTTGTTCAGCCATTCGGACTTGGTGATAGTCGGGTTGTAAGTAAAATTTTGAATAAATGGTGGCGCTATGTACTTCATTGAACATTTCATCAACAGTGGGGATTAGAAAACAATTCGGGATGGTAACATTGTTAAGGGTATAATCAATGTTTAAAATTGCGTATTCGGGTATTGACGCAAGCCTCATAAAAAAACTCGAGGCGTAAGCATCGAGGCGTTTTTTATTGGAATTGCGCAAAGGCGAGCCTCATATTGCACAATTTTAAACCATGGGTATAATAATCAACATAGAAATGTCGGAGTCGTTCTTTTTTATGAGTAAGATGGATGAAGAGTTGGGGCTTGTATATTATCAGATGAGTCAAGAATGAAGCATTTTAGTTACTAATTGTTCAATGGTTTCTTTATGAAAAAGTGGGTAGTGATAAGATTATTGTAATGTGAGTGCACGGTCTTCTTCTCATGGTGGTGGAAGTTGTGATGGTGGATGAAACAAATGGGTGAATTTTTGTAAGAGTATTGTAATGTGAGCTATGAGCGTGGGCGGCATTGTTGGATATTTAGATATTGTTGGGGGGGAAAATTAGTTGTTAGTTGGTAGCATGTGGAAATGGACCCTTGTGTGTAAAAGTTAAGTGATTGGATTAAAATGGATTTATTTATTACGGTTTCTTTTTCCTTGCAATTCAAGCAATTTTCCTTGCCATGAAAACAAATAGTTAGGTAGTTTTAATATGTTAGGATGTCACCTGAGTTTTGGGGCCATTAGTCTCCTAGTATATTATCAACTATTTGAATGGGAAGGATATAAAAATCAATGGTAAACGGTATGCCTTTGTGATGGAGATACCGTTTTAAAAATTTGCTATTTCATTTTAGTTATTTGTCATTGCCAACTAGTTTGGGAAAGTTCGCTATTGGTGTTATATGTAGCTCCATAAATTTAGCTACTCATTGTTGAATAAAGTTATGTGTTGAGCTGCTGTCACTGAGAATTTGCAAAACATTGGAGATTAAATGTCTGTCGATTTAGTTGGCCGTTCAAGGCATTGAGGTTGATTTTTGTTGATGGATGGCATTCGGATCGTCGGAGCTGTTATGAGGTTGGTCTTTGGGTTCAATTTGAATTATAAATAATTAGTTTTTACATACATGATGACAATGGAAAATTTCATCGCAATTGAAACAAAAATCTTTCTCATGATGTTCTACCATTTTGATTGAGTTAAGTTTCTTTGTAACGGGTGCAGGCTAGGCGGTTTGGCTGTTGTGGGAGCTTTTGTGTAGGGAGAAGTGGCCTTAGTTGGCGAATAGTGGAGGGCTGGTGGAAATATGAGCTGTTTGGCATTAAGGAACTTTTCTTCTATGAGTTTAACTAGTTCAATGGCTTGGTCAAGGGAGGATGGACAGTGCAGTTAGATTTCTTTATGGATGTCTGGGTTGAACACATATACAAAGCATCTTTGAAGGAAGATTTCTCAATGCCTAAAATTTGATTGGATGGATGTTAAAATTTCAACTGTTAATCGATGATGGTGGTCTGAGTGGAATAGTTTTGCAAGCCGACCGTATAGGTCACGGTATTTGGATTAACCAAAACATGTCTGGTGCGCTATGAGGAAGCCCGGCCATAAGGTTCGACGGCTAGTTTTGGAGAGCCATACATATCATTGTTCAGGAGGTTCGTCCATATGAAATGATGTTAAAGAGAGCTTCTCCATATGAAATAATGCTAATGAGAGCTTGTCATGATTGCATAACCAGTGGAAATTATAGTATTGTTCTATTTTCTAGCTCCAAAGTGGATTGTTGGTGGAAACAGGGGATTAGGAGCTTGGTTTGATTAGACCTGAAGTAGAGCTATCCGAAGTTGGATATCATGGAGAATTTTGGTCATGACGGCTAGCTGCTCTTTTGTTGAAGCCACTCGATCATTGATGCAAGTAGTGGAGTGTGTTTCTTCTTCCATTGGAAGAAATTTGTGGCGTCAGAGAAATGGATTGATGGTGGACTGGCTGTTGGTTAGTACCCAGTGGCAGAGAGGCTCTCCTAGAACACCAGTGATATGATAAAAAATAATTTAAGGATGTTACTGGAAACTCCAAAAAAGGCTCATTGCTCACTTCAGAAAACAGAGCAATAAACGAAAGCAGACAGGGAAGAAGAAGATAAGAGAAAATTAGAGGAAATTGAAGAAGTTTGATATTTCATTGTATTTCTTTCTTTGTATGGTAATCTTTGTTATATAAAACCGTTCTCATTATTACTAATAGCCTTATCCTTCCACTACCCTGCACGTGTTGCTGGTGTATAAATAACCTTATTATTATTCCAATAAAAATAGGACACATGTACCCTCCTTACAAACCTTGGAAAAGGATATCCTTTTATCTTATTTATGGGCTAAAATAGGGCGAAGGTACATGTGTAGATGTGGTTTGATCGTCAGATAGGCTCGCCTTGTTTTTGTTATATTTGTTAATATATACTGTTTACCAGAGAAAATCAGCTCATAGATTTGTTGAATAGAATGTTTTCTTTCTCATACTTTATGCAAGATGCTATTTTTGCCATGTTTGTTTATTCTCTGCATTCATTGATTATTTCAATGTTTCACTTGTGAGAATTTTCAATATTGGGGATCTTTTTTCTCTTGGCTTCAAATTAGGGAAATGCAGTGGTGTTTTTTGAAATTTAGTTTCCCTGCAAAGTAAGGACCTTTTATTCGGGGCAATCTTCGATGCAACACCCAAATCATGCATATTTGCAAGACTATCATGCCCCCACCTTAATTTATTAAATTCCCACAAAAAATATCAAAATTCACTTGTAAACTACCAACTTTCATTCTTAACATTTCATCCATTTCTTCATGAATTATTAGTAACAACATGTGCATCTTGTACAACATCTTTGAACTGTTTCAGGAAAAAAAAAAAAATTTTCAGTTTTGTCGGTATCATCTAATCTTGGTTGTGATAGGATATGCCATATATGGTCCTAGATCCTTAAAGTTGTACGGTGCTTTATTTAATTGTTAACCATTTATAAATTTCCTTTCAAGAATTTTGCAGGATAAATTTGCATTCTAGGGAATGCTGAAAAATGTGCCTTCACATCAGCATATTACTGTCTAAGGCAAAGGAGTTTGTCGCTCCATATCAGCTGCCGTCAGTAATTCTTGATGTTGAAGAGCAGAGACTCTGTAACTATGAGCTCGGTGCAAAAGTGCTCGGTAGATCGAGGAACTCAACAAATCCTGCTGCGTTAGGACATCAACTAGATGACGACGGTTGAAGATTTCCCTCTTCTATAAACTTACACATAGTTATAGGAAGATTTTTAAAATGGGAAGTGAAAGCAAGGGATGTATTCTGATGCAAAGGTATGAATTAGGGAGATTATTAGGACAAGGAACATTTGCCAAAGTTTTTTATGCGAGGAATATCAAAACTTCACAGAGTGTTGCTATAAAGGTGATTGAAAAAGACAAGGTTCTAAAGAATGGACTCATAGATCAAATAAAACGTGAGATTTCAGTCATGAGATTAGTGAGACACCCCAACATCGTGCAGCTTTATGAGGTAATGGCTAGCAGAACCAAGATCTATTTTGTTCTTGAATATGTTAGAGGCGGCGAATTGTTCAATAAGGTATCCAAAGGCAGGCTTAAGGAAGACGTTGCAAGGAAATATTTTCAGCAGCTGATCAGTGCTGTAGAATTCTGTCACAGCAGAGGCGCCTTCCATAGGGATTTGAAACCTGAGAACCTCCTCCTGGATGATGATGGAAACTTAAAAGTTTCAGATTTTGGTCTGAGCGCCCTTGCCGAATCTAAGAGGAAGGATGGATTACTCCACACTACTTGTGGAACTCCAGCTTATGTTGCTCCTGAGGTGATCAATAGACATGGATATGATGGCGCCAAAGCTGATATATGGTCTTGTGGAGTGATTTTGTTTGTTCTTATTGCTGGTTCTCTCCCTTTCAATGATCCAAACCTGATGGAGATGTACAAAAAAATTGAGAAGGCAGAATTCAAATTTCCCAATTGGTTTCCACCAGATGTCAGAAGACTGATAAAAAAAATTCTAGACCCTAATCCAACCACTCGGATCACGATTGAAGAAATTAAGGAAAATCCATGGTTCAGGAATGGCCTTGGTGTTAAGCGAATGGAATACGAAACAGAAGCTAAAGAATTAACATCCATGGGTGTCAATACAGGCTTCAATTCCTCTGAGAATGTCACAGCTGAAGGAAAGCAAGAGATGGAAAAGCAAGAAACAATGAAGCCCTTAAACTTGAATGCTTTTGACATCATTTCTCTTTCAGCTGGATTTGATCTGTCCGGCTTGTTTGAGGAGAACGACTGCAAGAGGGAGACAAGATTCGCATCCAATAAGCCACTTTCTATAATTATCTCAAAACTTGAGGAGGTTGCCAAGCGATTGAAGTTAAAGATAAAAAAGAAGGATGGAGGGATTTTGAAAATGGAAGGATCAAAAGAAGGCCGGAAGGGAGTATTAGCCATTGATGCAGAGATTTATGAGGTAATCCCTTCACTCCATCTCGTGGAGATCAGAAAGACAAATGGAGATACGATGGAGTATCAGAAGCTGTGGAAGCAGGATATGAGACCAGCCCTTAAGGACATTGAGTGGGCTTGGCAAGGTGATCTGCCATCATCTCAACCACCGCAGCAGCTGCTACTGGCTAAGAGTGGTAGCATCTAGTGGCAAGAGCTGAAAATTGTCTGATTCACTTCTACTAGATGTTCGGTATTTCTCTCTCTTCTTGTTCAGGTTTTTTTGAAGCTACGAACTTTGTGAGCCTTTTTATTATTTTTGTGAATCCGGTCTAGTGTACAGTGCTTGTTATGCTAGTTTCTTGTATATTTATTTATGTTCAGCTTCTTGAATGAACAAAATCTTCACTTTTTACAACATTGTTTCCATTGGGTATGCATGCTTGAATGCGGTCCAATGAAATCAGTACTTTTATTCAATGTGCAGAGCTAAATAAGTGGACTTGTTAAGATCTTTTATGATTGTATTATGTATTTAACCTATTACTATGATTATATTACCAAACTTGTAGGCTTTGTGTACATAGTGGAATTTGCAAAATTGTCATCAACATATCTTATGTTGGAGTGTATTATGTGATACAAGAGAGTGGATGCATTTGATGCAATATTGAAAAAAACAACTATTTTGTAGGAATCCAGCTTATAAGGTAATCACATTTTGGCAGTCGAATGTAGGTTTTGTTTGGAGCTATTGGAGACGGGATTTTTTTTTTATTTTGAACATTAGGTCAATTAAGGCAGACTTATACATATATCACATACATAAGATTCGAACTCAGGACCTCTGTTTAAAATTGCGCAACGAGAGGCGCGCCTCTGCGCAATTTTGTCCAAAAATGCCCTGAGGCGAATGCAATTCAGGGAGATTTTGAGGCGTACGCCTCACAGTAGCTGAGGCGCGCCTCTATTGCGTAATTGCGCAATTTAGAGAGAGGCGTACGCCTCAGCCAAGAGGCCCCACCCACTTAAAATGAACATTTCATTTCCCCCACACCCGTTCGGCCCTCCTCATTCCCGAAAATAATCGCCCGTAAGCTCATGTTCGCGGAAAACAGAGGAGCGCGCACGGTCGGCCTCCAATCCCGCCGCTCCTCCCGCCGGCGCCGCTTCTCTCCGGCGAAGTGGAATCTTCCGGCCTCCCTCTAAGAGTACTCCACATTGAATTTTAGGTATTTTTATTAAGTTTAGGGACATAATTTTATTGCATCTACTTTCTTATTTTCCAATATTGCTATTATTTTCCTGCTAAAATCCTTAATTTTTCATTTACGCAATTCTGTGTTCGTGAGGCTTACGCCTCAGACCGCCTCGAGGCTTACGCCTCGCCTCACGGACGAAAACCGCCTTGAGGCGCAGTTACGCAATTTTAAACCTTGCTCAGGTCCTCTTAACTAATAGCCTAAGTTCTAAACCAACAAACCAAGGTGAGGTATATAAGATGGAATATTTGATATGATAGGATAATGTAAATTGATTTCTCTCTTGAAACCAATGTTTTAAAAGGCGAAATCGTGAATCGATGCGTTTTGGCTAAGCGAGGCAAGGCATAAGCCTCGAGGCAGATCGAGACGTAAGCCTAAAAAATTATAAAAATAAAGCAATTTAAAATTATGAATAATGACAAAAAATAATAAAATATTACGTCAATTGTGAATTTGATGATTTGTTCTAATATAATATTAATATATTACTGGAAAAGAAGATTTAAAATAAACTCACTTAAAAATAAAACATCATTTTAGGATCAAGATCCAATGCAGGCTCATCATCACTTTGATTTTATTCAGAAGAATCTTCATAATTAATGTCAAAGTCATCCTCAAACTTTTCTTCATCTATAATATTTTTTCCTTTATCCCGTATATCAATTAATATTTCATTAGCTCTAGAATGAAACAATAATAGCATAAAAAAATAATTCATTATATTTAAGAATACCTTTGAATTTTTTTGAAGCTCCAATCTCACTTTGTTTCTTTCTTTTATATATATGAGTAGTTGCTTCACTGTCTTCATTGACTTGAGTTTCTCATTCTACTTCAACTTCAGAAACATCAATATTCTTAGGAGTAACTCATTCATCATCAGATTGTAAATCATAAACAAGTGAATGGTCAATTTCATTATCAATGCTTCCTTGCTTCTGTAATTTGGGATGTCTATCTTTTAGTTTTTTGTTAAACATAACATAAACAAGTTTGTTCATTCGATCTGTAGCCAATCGATTTCTTCTCTTAGTATGAATTTGATTGAAGATACTCTAATTACGCTCGTATGCAAAAGCCGAACATGTTAGGCTAAGACATTTATCTGCAAAAGCTTTCAATTCAGGAACATCATCTCCAAACTGACTCCACTAACGTTCTACATGAAAATGAATAATATTTTATGAATATTGATTGAAGTATAAGACTTGAACATAAATATTAAAATTAAAATTATAAATATACAAATTATAAACATACTAGGAGATCGTGTTTTGTAGCATGCTTGTGTTGCTCTAAATCCAAATATTCACTTCTTCAGATGAAATTCTTCAAGTTGATCATTCACTTTGAGGTAGTCTTATTCAGAAATGAGTCTATCCATACATGCATACAAACCAGTTTTCACATGTTTATCAACATGAAAGTCTTATCATAATGAAATGAGGTTTAATAGTATGCAGCAGCATGTAAGTGTTGGTGTAATTGACGATCAGACTTTTCTTCATAATATCCCATTTTCTGTGTAGGCACTTTCTTGACCTCCAAATCTTTTTGCATTCTTCTTTTAGTTCCTATTCATAGCCTTCACCAGATATTAAAAAATCCCATAAGACGGGTGCCGCTCTCACCTCAACTTTCTAAGCACATTCGAGACCTTAATTGTGTGTTGTTTTCAAAGCATAATTTATACTGCGTATAAAAGAATCATCTTTCCAAAAATTTTTTACCTGATTTCCTTCTTGTTTTTTTTGCCCATGAACTTTATATCCATTCTTCAGATAGCAACATAGCTTCAAATGATGACTTAACTCCTTGAATCTCTGCAATGTTTAAATATGCAGTAGCAAATCTCGTACCAGCAGGTTACTTCTATTAATTTTCTTGGTCAGTGAATTTTTTCATCAAATTGAGTACCAAAAATGATTGTATATGAACTTACTAATGAATTGACCTTCAATGAGGCTGATTTTATCTGAGGTGTAGACTATAACTGTCGGCCAAACCCCAAAAACCTCCATTCGGACCAAGCCATTAACCCCGTGGCTCTAACTTGAAACTGCCACAACCGACCCATTATTCTTCCCACGATCCACCACGGTCGCACTCCTCTCGGTTAGAAACCGCTCCTCACGGACACAAAACATGGCCTCCTCTCATTCGGTTCCCTCTCACACGGCACAGAGACACACACATAGAAGAGAAATAAAGTTTTTAGAAGACTCATCTCTGGACGAATTGCCAAGCTCGTCGATCTTGTCGGACTCACCGTCCTTCCCTCGACGCCTGCCTTCCCCCTATCTGAAATCCAGTTTGTGACCAAGCCAAACCCATCAACCTTCCAAGTCTCCTACTCGCGCCGGCCCGGGACCTGCCTCCGACGTCGACCACGCCGCCGACGAGCCCATCCGAAGCTGCTCCTATTCGAAGCCCTAACTCCCGTACGGTGTCTCCCGTCCGTTCCCACAGCTCGCCCCGATTCCCTTCTCTCTGTTTTTACATATGTAATATAATTTTATATTATTATGTGTATAATATAAACAATATTATATAAATATTAATATATATTATCACAGATATAATATAACAAATAAAATGTTATATATTATATTATGTATATAATATTATATTATGTATTATATGATATAATATATATATATATATTATATATATACTATATAATAAAAAAGAAAGATAATTTTGCAAATAAGGTGAGAGTAATTTGAAGGAAGTCCCTGGGTTGCATCCGGTCCCCCGAAGCCCTCGGTCGTCGAAGATTATCCGACCGAAGGTCAGACGCGCAGATTCTACTCTTCCAATTTCCTCGCTGTTTGATTGCTCCGGCCGAGTCGAGCCAAAGGGCAAATGCCTCTCTTTACCTCCGGCACCGGGGAGGGGACGTCGGGAGGCTGCCAGCATGTTTCTCAAAACTTTTGGGACTTAGGTCTAATTTCGCCACAAATCCCAGCAATCAACAACCACTACAAGGACCTTTCGAGTAAGACTTCTTATGGGACGAATTCTCTCTCCCAAACATCCTTGCCGTCGATTTGAATCCGGCTGAGTCGAGCACTCACTTACCTCCCGGCATCGGGGATGGGACGGTTGGAGGCTGCGAAATTTTCTCAAAAATTCTGACTTAAAATTTTTTTGAGAATAATTAAAAAAATGCTCAAATGGCCATTCAATTTTAAAAATAATTGCAATATTAATTTAATCAATAAATTACAATGACAGATTTTGCATCAAATTACATTCACAATTTGCAATCGACAAAAATATTGGCAACCGGCGATCATCAAAGCTTCTGAAGACTTCAATTCTCTCGGCCGTCGATTTGACCGGCTAAGTCGAGCACTCCTTAACCTCCCGGCATGAGGAGGAGACGGATCGGGATGCTGCTGAAATTTCAGTGAAAATAAGGGACTTAAAACAAATGGAATTGGGCTTTATTGAACAAAAGACTTGAACAAATTTTAAACAAATTTAAAGGGCCTCACATGATGCTAAAAAATGAACCGTTTATGAAAGAAATGATTCTAAAAAAAAAATGATTTGTGATTAAATGATATCCGAAGTTACTTTAAAGTCAAATTAAATCATTACAATCATCCAATCTTTCCTAAGGATCTCTGAAGGAGTCTTTTTGATCTAAATAAATATGATGATTTTCGCTAAAAAGTTGGAAATCTAATGTATTTTGGTAATGATGATCTTATTAAGGTTGAAATGACTACATCACATATTATCCTGACGTGGATAGCATCCAATAGCAATTAAGCAAAATTGAAACTTTATGCTAAATAAGATCAAATAACA